GTCTGGAATGCATACCATTGTCTAAACCTACTTATATCTTTCCTCTCAACTAGATAATTCCTTCAAGGCAGGATCTTTAATAGGTGAGGCTGTAGGATTTCATTTCACATTGCCCCTGAGCTGCCTCTTCTTCAGTTTTGCCCCATCTACTGAGTCCCAGGAAAGGGCTCTTAGACGGGTATACATGGTCAGGGTGACCAAGTGACAAAAATGATGGGGCTGGGTATTTTATGTCCTGGCTGAGTAGCCATGGAAGGTGGGGCAAAGGAATGGAATATGTTTAGTAAAATCACCTCCCTTTATTTATTCTTCATCCATTCTCATCTGTAGGTTCATTGGTGTTCACAAGTTTCTCTTTCAAAAGGCGATCAGATAGATGCTTCACTAAATACTCGAAGGGTGAAATTTTGACCATGGAGGGGAGGAGGGTGGAGGTAGGCCTAGGATATGCAAGGCCCTTCTGGAGAGGGGAAGGAGTGGGCAGGGGCAGGAGGCGAGGGAAGACACACAGGGCTTCGGAGGACTGGAGGCAGGCTTTAGCAACTTACTGATTAAAAATACCACAAAGAACAAACCTGCAGCACAGCATTAAATAATCATAAAAGTAGAACTTTGCTGCTTTCCTGCTTAAACCTCCAGTGAGTCTTTACTACTTTTCAATAAAGCACACATTCCTTGGGAAGGCAGCTCAGATCGCATCCTCTGCCCCACAATATTGCTCTGGTTTTCTTGCCTACGAATCTCTCTGTACATGCTCTGCCCTCTTCTTGGAAAGCATTTTCCCTTCTCAAGTAAGCTGGTCATGACTTAATTCAGAAGTCACTCTGCTCCAAAGTCTTCTTGGACCAAATTGGGGAGGGTAAGAGAACTCACAGCCCTCTGAAGACATCTTTCATGCTAAGGTCCTGGCTCAGTCAATTATCTGATGACCTGCCTTTCTCTCTCTGAAGATGCCGAGGTATCATTTTCATTAGGACAGGGACTAGGTTTTAGTGATTTTTGTATCTCTCAGTGCCCAGCACACAGTAGGTTCTCAACTCACACCTGCACAATGAAACAATTGCGGAGACCATTGTATGAAGGTGGTGAGCCCCAGCAGTTTCTAGTCCAGGCTGTTCAGCTGAGTAGGTGATCTCCTAGCCTCTTTTACACCCTCCTCACCTTCCATCTCTTTCAAGCAAACAAGTCTCCTAAGAATTCAGACGAGAGATGTAACCTCTGTGGTTAATATATATGACACCATTAGTGCATCTCAACTACTACCATCTGCCCATGCCCTTTGCCAAAATCCCCAGGTATTTCCAAAGTGTTCTAACAGCTAGAACTCTCTCTGGTTCTCTTTTCAGATTGGTGATTCTCAAAGTGTGGTCCCTGGACTTCGGGCATCAGTATCAAATGGAAACTTGTTATAAATGCAAATTCTCAGGTTGAACTCCAGACCTACTGAATGAGAAATTCTGACGCAGGGCCCATGAACCTGAGTGCTATAAAGCCCTCCAGGTGCACTAAAGTTTGAGGACCACAGTTTTAGACTTTAGCAAGACCACAAGAATAGTCTCAAACAATGCCATATTATTTCAAGTACGAACTTACATGAGGAAAATGGAACATAGGTGCATAAGGATATCAATTGTCCTCCTAGAAAGTACTGTCTAAATGAACATTCTGTGAAGATGAAACTGTTTTATATCTGTGCTGTTAACATGGCAGCTACTAGCCACATATGGCTGTGAACATTTGAAATGCAGCTAAAGGGACTGAAACAATTTTTAAGTTTATTTAGTTTAAATAGGCACATATGGCTAGTGGCTATCTTATTAGACAGTGCAGTTCCAGAAGATGATAAAACTACACTAAATCATATTCAACATAGTTCCTAAAATCCTAGTAATAAAAAAAAAACTTTAAACTATATTCCCTTCAATTCTGCCTTATTTCTTTCTATTGCTTCCCACCTGTATAGTACCTCTACATATCTGATGCTCAGTAAATACTTGGCAACTGACCCTGGATTAACTTAGTTTTTGTCATCTGTGAAATGCAAGGTACTCATTCATCCAAAGATTTACTGCTTATCTCAAGTTTGCTCTATCGTATTAATGTTTTGAAACTTTTTAAAAGCAGTTTAAAGCATTATGTAAAGTAGCATTATTTTTTCTGTATAAACTTGACAAGGCTTTAGGTATATGATTTGATCTGTGGTAAATTAGAACTGGGAGCAGTAAACCGTGTCACTATTGTGTGTCCTGCAATGTATCTTTAAGATTTATAGAAAAAGGATATGACAGAAGTCAATCTCAAAAACTGCCAAAGGAACTTCTCTTTGTGGTTACATAAATCTTTCAGACTGCTTTGCTTTATACCAGGGTCAGTTCAGATAGGTGATGGGTCTCATTTTTCAAGATAAATATGTATTTTCATCCTCCTACCTAGACCAAGGTATAGTTTGGCTCTTAGCTGTCCCTCATGAATGAGTCTGTATATAAATAATTAAATCTGGATTACAGAAAGACTCTACCCAATATTTTTTTAAAAATTATATTTCAAATAGATCTATTATCCATCTAGCCAAATCCAGATTGTCCCTGAACAATAAGCGCTCCTGCCTGAGTGTGTATTCCTAAGTGGGGGACTTTTGCAAAGGTCTTTCTCTCTTTGGCCTCTGAGGATGCAACTCTAGCCAACAGATGCTGAGGCTCAAACTCTTCAAAAGTAAACTGCCTGGGAGTACAAGGGCATCAAGCCCTCAGCAAGAACCTGGGTCCTAGGTACAACAGAGGTGACCAAGTTCTCCACAGCCTTGGATTCAATTGCCCTCACTGATTTCCAGTGATACCTGTCCCGGCAGCTACAGTACTTGACCTTAACCCTGGCCTTGTCTGGGATTCCTTAGACAAAAAAGGTAGTCTTGGGCGCTTTGCTTTTATGCCAGGG